CCTCGAAAGAGACGAAGAATAGTCAAAGATCCCAGCCGCTCTGAAATTCAAATAACTTTCGTTAACCCCGAAGACTCATTTTATCCATATTGCATTTCGTCGTCGGCTTATTGCAGCGGCCATTTGCATTGTACCACTTGGCCCTCGGTTATCAACGATCTGGCGACCACGCTGAACCTGTCGCAGTGCAGGAAACTCGAGTTCTCGAATCGAAGCGCAGCCGAGGAAATTCGCACGTTTGCCTCGAGAAAATAGCCGACGCTCTTTAGATCTGCAGTTTCACAAAAGCTTCTCACACACACACACACACACACTTGCTAGGCGCAAGACGCACGACTCGTCTGCAAATAATCCCGACAGCGGGATTATTTCTCTTTGCGATTAAAGGAGTTTCGAGAAAAGAAGCTCGTGTCTTCCGATCGCAGGGACCAAAATGGTGGATTCCTCAGATAATCTGCGACATATCCAGCTGACCAAATATAACGGGGCGTGTCGCGAGCCCCGATTACAATCAACTAATAGCATTTGTGATTAAAGCGCGGATCGTTCGGTGTTACGGTAAACACCGGGACAGGTGATTATGGGATTGGTCAACAATTAATTTCTTGCTACACTTGGCCCCCTGTGATGATTCGGCCGCGTTATCGCGTGTTCTTACCGGCGGGAATGATTGGTCACGTTCGTAATCACTTGATCTTGTGATATACACGTGTGTGTGTATGTGTGTGTGTGTCTGTTAACCGGTCTCGATTCCATCGATCCGAAATGTTTGGAATTTAACTCGAGCGAAGTTGCCGCAAAACGAACGACACGGTCGAAAGGAGAGAGAACTGTATAATTCGTTCCTCAAATATACATTTCGATGAAGATTTTTCATGGAAATAAAATTAACAGGGTAATGGAATTAACTCTCGCAGTGGATGGACAAAACTATCGTTCCCATTTCCAATTAAAGCTCTCAGTATACTACGAATGCCGTTTTAATCGTTAAATTTTTCATCCCCCGTCGAGGGAACGGTTATTTATATATATATATATATATATCGATTTCAAAAAGTAATTAATAACGTTGATTCAACATTAATCGACACGTGAATTTTACCCGTTCAGTCGCAATTGTAATAATTTCATTTTAATGTTAATGTTAGCACCGATTTGAATAATCCTTCGGACGTTATTTGAAACATTAATTGGATACACGGTGTCAAAAAAAAAAA